GTGACACTGTGACACTGACACTGCGAGGCTGCTGTGTGTGAGACTGTGACACCTGAGAGAGCAACGGCGGCGCTACAGGTGAGGCACAGGTGACACTGTGACACTGCCAGGTGTGTGTGTGTGACACCCTCAGGTGTGTCCCATTCCCCCAGGTGTCCCAGGTGTGACCCAGGTGTGTCCCTGTCCCCAGGTGTGTCTGCGTGTCCCAGGTGTGTCTGTGTGTGTCCCAGGTGTGTCTGTGTGTGTCCCCAGGTGTGTCTGTGTGTCCCAGGTGTGTCTGTGTGTCCCCAGGTGTGACTCAGGTGTGTCCCCCTGTCCCCAGGTGTGTCCCCCTGTCCCCAGGTGTGACGCTGTCCCTGTCCCCAGGTGTCCCAGGTGTGACCCAGGTGTGTGACCCTGTCCCCAGGTGTGTCTGTGTGTCCCAGGTGTGACGCTGTCCCTGTCCCTAGGTGTGTCTGTGTGTCCCAGGTGTCCCCAGGTGTGTCTGTGTGTCCCAGGTGTCCCTAGCTGTCCCCAGGTGTGACGCTGTCCCTGTCCCTGTCGCTGTCCCCAGGCTGGCCCCGTTCGCCCCCGGGCTGCCCTGGGCGCTGCCCCAGGGGACGCCGCTGGACCCCGACCTGAGCTACTCGCTGGCCAAGGCCTCGGCCTTCTACCTGAGAGGGAGCGCTGCGTGAGTGACCCCTGAGTGACCACTGAGTGACCACTGAGTGACCACTGACCCCTGAGTGACCACTGAGTGACCACTGACTGACACACCTGGGAGCCATCTTCATCCCCAATGTCCCCGCTGTATCCAGTGTCCCCAATGTCCCCAGTGTCCCCAACCGCCCTGATGTCCCCACTGTCCCCAGTCCCCTCAGTGTCCCCAATGTCCTCAATGTCCTCAATGTCCGTAATATGTCCCCAATCCTCCCGTGTCCCCAATGTGCCCAATCCCCTCAGTGTCCCCAGTGTCCCAACGCCATCTTTATCCCCAATGTCCCCAATGTCCCATTTGTCCCCCAGTGTCCCCAGTGTCCTCAATGTCCCCAATGTCCCAACGCCATCTTCATCCCTAATGTCCCGACTGTATCCAATGTCCCCAATGTCCCCAATCCCCTCACTGTCCCCAATCCCCTCAGTGTCCCCAGTGTCCCAACGCCATCTTTATCCCCAATGTCCCCAGTGTCCCCACTGTCCTCAATCCGCTCAGTGTCCCCAATGTCCCCAATGTCCCCAATCCCCTCACTGTCCCCAATCCCCTCAGTGTCCCCAATGTCCCAACGCCATCTTTATCCCCACTGTCCCCAACGTCCCCAATGTCTCCATTGTCCCAAATCCCCCCAATGTCCCCAATGTCCATAATATGTCCCCAATCCCTTTGATGTCCCCAATGTCCCCACTGTTCCCAGTGTCCCCAATGTCCAAACGCCATCTTCATCCCCAATGTCCCTGCTGTATCCAGTGTCCCCATTGTCCCCAATCCCCCCAGTGTCCCCAGTATCCCCAGTGTCCCCCAGTGTCCCCAATGTCCCCAATCCCCCCAGTGTCCCAAATCCCCCCAGTGTCCCCAGTGCTTCCACTGTCCCCACCCCCCTCGCTGTCCCCCAATGTCCCCAATGTCCCCCTGCTGTCCCCAGGAACCTGGAGGCCAAGCTCCGGGGGTTCCTGGCCCGGCCCAGCTCGTGGCCCAGCGTGGAGGCCATGACACGCGTGTTCCGCTGCTTCCACACGCCTGTCACCGGTCAGACACCGTGGGGACACCGGGGACACTGGGGGGATTGGGGACATTGA